GGCTTTGTTGCTAGAATTTCTATAGTAAAGTTGGAATTAACTGCTTAAGCTCAGTTGGCAATGCTTCAATTCCAGGAAGATTAGAACAATTTATATTTGCACTAGTGCAAACTTTTAGCATTGGATAAGCTTTTGTTGATCACTTAATTCTTTCCTAGTGCATAACATAGACTTAGCATGTTCCGACCCACTATTATTATTATTTTAGCAAAACAACAGGCATAGGAAGAGCTCTGCTGGCCACGAAAAAGGCATACCAAGTTTAGCATCTGTTCCCTCCACAGTGACCAACCAGATGCTTCCAGGAAGACCACAATTACGGCATGAGGGCAATAGCACTCTCTCCCACTGTCATTTCTCATTCAGCTGGTATTCCATAGGCACTGTGAGTGAACACTGAATAATGACATAATCCAGGGTACTTCTAGAATTGTATTTCTGGAACGCAGACAGTAGATAGATAGATGATAGATAGATAGATAGATAGATAGATAGATAGATAGATAGATAGATAGATAGATAGATATAGATAGATGATAGATAGATAGATGATAGATTTGCCAAATTGATTATTGTGCAGGAATACAATCATACAGAATCTCTGGCTAGCACCCACAAATTTGATTTTAGCTCCTAAAATATTTCACGCCTAAAACATGTTGCATTATATTTTTCTAGTTGTAGACAGGGAAACCATTGTGCTATGTTCAAAGCAAGAGCCAGTGATCTGGAGGCTGAAGGGGGTATGCAAATTAGGCACTATGCAAATAGGACAAACTAAATTAGCATGTCTCATTTGTGTTCCAGCCTGCAGGTCCTTTATCTTCATAAGTAGGAAGGTGTGAGTTTGCGTGTATAACTTATAGTTCTAATATGATAGCCAGATGATAAGTTGGAAAGCTGGAAATGGGAAAATGAAGGGTAAAGCAGGGGTTAAAGTCAGAGGAGGCCCTGTCCAAATACATCCTCCAATTTTCCAAGGCAGGTTTGAGCTTGCACTTCACTTTTGTCTGTACTTTCCCCTCCAATTGAAAAAAATTAAAGATATAACTAGCATCAGTATAAGAAACTAACATTTATTTCCATCTATGGTTTCTGTCCTGCCCCACCCCTCCGCCTTGCTCCTCACTGTTTCAAGGCATCTTCAACTACCAGAACTGAAGATATTTTGAATATTCTGAGCTGCTAGGGTTGCTTGGAGCATCAAGCTGGAGACTGAAGATTTGACACCTTGCCTCCCCCCGCCGCCCTCAATATTTCATAGAATCATAGAGTTGGAAGAGACCACAAGGGCCATCGAGTCCAACCCCCTGCCAAGCAGGAAACACCATCAGAGCACTCCTGACATATAGTTGTCAAGCCTCTGCTTAAAGACCTCCAAAGAAGGAGACTCCACCACACTCCTTGGCAGCAAATTCCACTGTCGAACAGCTCTTACTGTCAGGAAGTTCTTCCTAATGTTTAGGTGGAATCTTCTTTCTTACAAGTAATTTATTATTTATTTATTACAAGTAATTTTGAAGAATGAGAAAAGTTGTATGTTTACATACAGTATATATATTGTTGTGGGTGTCACCATTTTGCAAAATGTTTTTGTGCATTTAAACTGTGTTTTCTTGTTTGGTAATTATCTGTCATTATTAATTTATTATCACAGAGAATTAAGGCCCAGTGTAGCAAAAAATAAAATAAAATTGCTGATCATTTTTAAAGTAAGCATCTTGCAATTCAATCACACGTTTGCAGTGAGAAGAATTTAAAGATTTCATTTTGCAAAGTGTTGCTATGCCACAGCCCTCAGAATTGGACCCAGCTATATCACATTTCCCACAGTGCCCCAGCACAGCCTAAGAAACCTACCACTATTGTGTGCAACTCATTGCTCAAGGGCCTACTCCACAAATGAAAACCAAACTAACCCCACATTCACACCATACATTCTAAGCACTAGCATACCACTTCAGACAGTCATTCTGAAGAATCCTTGCAACTGTAGTTTGTTAATCCTTGTAACTGTAGTTTGTTAATCCTTGTAACTGTAGTTTGTTAAAGGTTGTTGTTCGGAGGCCCCTGTTCCCTTCATAAGCCTACAATAATTAGAAGGTGTTTTATTTATTTTATTTTATTTTATTTTATTAGATTTATTTACTTCCCTTCATCCGAGGATTGCAGGGCGGTTTACAATATAAAAACACAAAAATACATAACGTAATAACAAACAAAACAATACCCTCCATTAAGGGAGTCGTATTGTTAAATCATTCTGGAAATCAAAGCCATGACTCTTTAAAGTGAAATCACAGCACTTTAAATGTATAGTGTAGATATGGACAAAGTACTTCTCTGTGCTTTTGTATGGGACAAACAGGCCCAATAAAATTACTGATATGCTGTGGGGTGTTTTGTTTTTGTTTTTGTATTTTGTATGGAATATTTTAAGCAGAAGCTCCGTTGTTTTAGTGATTTTATTGTGACCTGTCCAGAGATACTAGGATGTAGGGCAAGATACAGAAAGCCTCACCCATAAATACATAAAATAAAAATAAGGCTGAACTTTAATATTATAGCACACTAAATAGTTTTGTGATAGAAAAATCAGGCAGGCATAAGAAACAAGATATTTAAAGTTGCAACATCCAACTTGATAGGGGAAATGTGTGTTTTTCCCACCACAGTTTTTAATGGAAATGGCGGAAAGTAACAGTCGATTGTACTGTCAACAATCAGCTGTAATATCTCTACTTCTATCAGGTCGAACTGATCGTTAATCCTTTTTTTGTAAATTAGCTTTTCATACATTTACAGCTTAAATTGTTGTACTCAAAATAGACAATAATGATCCTATTAAATCTTTGGAGAAATTTTAAACAAAGATATAATAGGATCATTTTTGTCCCTGTGCTGCGAGCACAACAATCATGTAAAAAGACTTCTAAAGATATGGTTTACACGCTGAGATAACAGTCATAGAGTCACATCTGGCCCAACACTTCTTGGGATCAAGACATGGTCACACCACAGCAGGAAAGTACATACCACAATATAGCTCAACAGCAGTGGGCAGGTGGGACAGTGTTGCTTACCTGGCTTTCCAACACCGAAAGGAAAGGGCAAGGATGTGGGGAGGTCAGTGCCATGCAAGCACAGCAGCAGAGCCAATCTGTCCCTTCTGTCACTGCTCCCACACCATGCCTTCCACCCTTCCCCCATTGCACTGGGAAGCCAGGTAAACAACCCCACCCCCCTAGTTGTTACTCATGTCTCCATCCCAAGCCAGGTTTGCTACCACCACACACAAAAAATGGCTCTGTTTCATCATCCTGATTTTCAAAAGAAATCTGCCTACTTGTCCAAAAAGAAAAGGACAGTGGTACCTCGGGTTACAGACACTTCAGGTTACAGATGCTTCAGGTTACAGACTCTGCTAACTCAGAAATAGTACCTCGGGTTAAGAACTTTGCTTCGGGATGAGAACAGAAATTGCGTGGTGGCGGCGTGGTGGCAGCAGGAGGCCTCATTAGCTAAAGTGGTACCTCAGGTTAAGAACAGTTTCAGGTTAAGAACGGACCTCCAGAATGAATTAAGTTCTTAACCCGAGATACCACTGTACCTGGACGCAGGTGGCGCTGTGGGTTAAACCACAGAGCCTAGGACTTGCCGATCAGAAGGTTGGTGGTTCGAATCCTCACGACGGAGTGAGCTCCCATTGTTCTGCTCCGGTTCTTGCCAACCTAGCAGTTCGAAAGCATGCCAGTGCAAGTAGATAAATAGGTACCACTCTGGTGGGAAGGTAAACGGCGTTTCTGTGTGCTGCTCTGGTTCACCAGAGGCGGCTTCGTCATGCTGGCCACATGACCAAATGTACGCCGGCTCCCTTGGCCAATAAAGCGAGATGAGCGCCGCAACCCCAGAGTTGGCCACGACTGGACCTAATGGTCAGGGGTCCCTTTACCCTTTACCTTTACCACTGTACCTACAAGATGGTCTGAGGGCTGCCTCTTTCTTCCTGTTTAAACATTTTCGGCAGCACAGAGCAGCTTTGTGGTAAAAACAAAACAAACACTTCTAACTCTGCCCTATAGTTTGATCCCATTGACGTGCTCTTGTAGAAAACAGTGCAAGAAGCCCAAAGGCAGCTGGAAACCTTGTTGTTTCAAGAAGAGTTTTCTTTGGTCACTCCTGCTGTGCAGATCACCTCTATTTCTCTGATGGTGACTTTGTCTTTGTCTCTTTGTGTATGTTTATGTATAAAATTGAGTGCACTGAATTGGCCTTGACATCTTACTTCCTGACATGACCCTTGGATCAACTCTGACCCACACTTCTTCTGTGTGGTGATTCTACTCTGTCCTGCCTTCCCATCTTCTGTCTTGACCTCCATACCATCCCAACACATACCTCATGCATCCTATTTGCTTCTGTCTCAGTGGATATTGTCCACTTTTCAGCGGTGCCCATGACAGATGCTAGGATATGATTGACCAATAGTATTATTACTATAATAATAAAAAAGAGCTAGGTCCCTGTGGGATTTACATAACCCATGGTTTATCAGGTTATACATGCATAAGTACAGTACAAAGTGTAATAGGAGTTGACAGAGAATGCAACAGATGATAAAGCAATAGTCTGTCATATTTTTGAAGCGTATAGCTATTCGCCCAAGCCTGGAATAACAGATCTACTCCATCACCTAAATACGTGTCATGGCTTTACTTTAAGTCATTCAGCAACTAAGAAAATTAGCCAGAGAATCCATTTGCATTTCTCTGATTTCGTGTTCTCTTTTTCCTTTCAGTATCTTGAGCCATAGCTGTCAACATTTCCCTTTTTTAAAGGGAAATTCCCTTATTCCGAATAGGATTCCTCGCAAGAAAAGGGAAAAGTTGACAGCTATGTCTTGAGCTTTATAGAAAGATTAAGAAGTGGTATGAGATATCACCCTTCTTACTATAGAAGCTCTTTGGAGCTTATGGTAACTAATGGTTTTGCAAGAGGAACTGTGATGGGATGATGAGCTGCTTGTGCGTAAAATCGTATTCCCTCAGAGTTTGTTCAAGTCCACAAACCTCTGTCTGTGACAGAGCCCCTCAGACATGGCTGCTCTAGTCACTAGCAGATTCCGACAGTGGTTGCTTTCGTAATCGCTTCCAACATAAAAGCTCCTTAACGGAAACACGTCTTCTGGAATCTCTGCGTGACAGTTTCCGGCGAGGAGTGGGTGTTCTTACAGGAGGTTCTGAAACCTCCCCACTGTTTTCGCTGGAAGTGTCTCTGAGCCATCCCTCCAGCTCAGCTCCCCTCCCCCTGCTGGTTCCTTCTTCAGCTGCTGCGTCTCTCCCAACCTGTGTGAGCCCTTTCACCTCCCTGTTGTTTCCCTCTTCAGCTGCTGCGTCTCTCCCAACCTGTGTGAGCCCTTTCACCTCCCTTCCGTCCGATGGCAGTTCCCTGACATCCACCTCCCCTCCAGGGCCCCCTTCACCCCCTCTCCCCCCCCTCCTCTACGGGCGGTGAGGAGGCAAAACCCCGGAATGAACTTCCTTCATCTTCCGATGTCTCGAACACTTCTCTCAACCTGTTGCGGTTCCTGGTCTCGAAGTACACCTCCTCCTCAGAGTCTATCTCCCCTTCCCCTTCCGAGTCCGGGAATCCTTCCAACTCCTCCCCTTCATCAGTGGTCCCAAAGTATTCCCTCCGGAACCTCTCCACAGGCTGAGGTTTCCTTGGGAACCTTTGATGGAACGTTTCTATCAATACCTCGTCATTGATATCTTCAGCCATTACCCAAGTGTTTTCTGACTCCGGTTCTCCTTCCCACGCTACCAAATACTCCACCTGATCCCCCTTCCACCTGGCGTCGAGGATTTCAGCCACATGGCTGCTGCATTCTCTTTCTTCTACGACCGGTCCCCGAGTGGCCAGCCCTTCTCGTCCCCCTTCGTACGGTGACAGTAACGACCTGTGAAATACTGGGTGCAGTTTCATGTGGTTGGGTAACCGGAGCCTGAAAGCCACTGGGTTGACCTGTTGAATGACCTCAAAGGGACCCAACCTCCTGGGTCTTAATTTCTTACAACCTCCTTTGAACGGCAGCCCTTGGGTTGACAGCCACACCCTATCTCCCACCCTTATGGTTTCACCTTCCCTTCGGTTCTTGTCTGCCTGCCTCTTGTATTCTTCCTTCGCCCTTTCTAAGTTGAGTTGGAGCTGACGATGGATTGCTTCCATTTCTTCCACAAAATGTTCGGCTGCCGGGACGCTCCATCTCTCCCCTCTCCCCCTGGGAAAGCCCTGGGATGACACCCATAATTAGCCAAGAAGGGGCTCATCCCTGTGGACACATTCTCGGCATTGTTGTAGGCAAATTCCGCCAGCGCCAACTTTTCTACCCAGTCATTCTCTCTGTCATTGACATAACACCTCAGGTATTGCTGGAGGACACCGTTTGCTCTTTCCGCCTGCCCGTTGGTTTCAGGGTGCCGGGCAGTCGAAAAATTGACCTCCACCTGCAGTAAGCTCATGAGCTTCCTCCAGAACCTGGAAGTAAATTGTTTTCCTCGGTCTGAGACCACCCTCAATGGCACCCCGTGCAACCTAAAAATGTTTTCTACAAATAACTTCGCTGTCTCTTCCGCCGTGACTGCATGCGAGCAAGCTACAAAGTGGCACATCTTTGTTAGTAGGTCTACCACCACCATGATGGCTGTTTTCCCTTTGGACTTCGGCAGATCAGTCATAAAATCTATCGACACTGCCTCCCAAGGTCGTTCTGGGGTTGGTAAGGGTTCTAATAGCCCCGCCGGCGCCCGCCTTTCCCCTTTGGCTCGCTGGCATTGCTCGCACCCTCTTACATACTCACGTACATCTTCCCTCACCTTAGGCCACCAAAATTCCCTGGTGACCAACCACATGGTTTTGTGTTGTCCAAAATGCCCCGCCGTAGGGCTGTCGTGCAACTGCTTGAGTACCCTCCCCCTTAACTCTCCTTCAGGGATATACAGTGCCCCTTTGTAATACAAAGCTCCATTTCTTTCCTCGAAACCCCCTGGTTCCTCTCCATCACCCCTAAGACCTCTGAGCTTATTCTGGGCGTATTCATCATTCTCTGTTTCCTCTACCAGTTCTCTTTGTCCCACCAATGCCGCCCCACAGACCCAGCGGTTTTCTGGAATGACATGTCTCTCTTCGGGTGCCCCCTCCCCTCCAAATATTCAGGTTTGCGTGAGAGAGCGTCCGCCCTAATGTTCTCTGGGCCTGGCACGTAACTAATCTCAAAGTTAAATTTGGAGAACTCCTGGGCCCATCTCACTTGCCGTTGGTTGAGCACTCGTGCCGTCCTCCAATACTCTAGGTTCTTGTGGTCGGTGCACACTTGCACCTTATGTTGTGCGCCAATTAGCAGGTGCCTCCATCTCCGGAACGCCTCATAAACGGCTAGTAGTTCTCGGTCATACACCGTGTAGTTCCTCTCGGATTTGTTCAGCTTTCGCGAAAAAAGGCACACGGTCTCCACTCTGACCCCTTCTTGCCTGGCTGCAGAAGCACCGCCCCAATCGCTCTGTCTGATGCGTCAGTTTCCACTCTCATCGGTTTTGTAAATCCACATGCAGGAGTTGTTGTTCCGAGGCGAAGGCCCCTTTTAGTTCCTCAAATGCTCGCTCCGCCTCCTCAGTCCACACGAACTTCTTCTTACTGCTGAGACAGTCCGTAATGGGCGCCGTCAGGTGGGCAAAGTTTCGGATGAACTTACGATAGAAGTTCCCAAATCCTAGGAACCTCTGCACATCCTTCTTTGTTTTGGGTGTTTTCCATTCCAGTACCGCCTGGACCTTGCCGGGATCCATGGCCAATCCCTTGTCTGACAGGCGATACCCCAGGAATTCCACCTCCTTGGTATGAAACTGACACTTCTCCAGTTTCACCCACAGCTGGTTGGCTTGCAGCCTGCTCAACACTTCTCTGACGTCTCTCACATGCTGCTCCTCATTCTCAGAATACACCAACACGTCGTCTAAAAGGGCCACACAATTCTTGTAAAGCAAAGGCCCCAGGACGTGGTTCATAAACGATTGAAATGTTGCGGAGCCTGCTTGTAGGCCGAAGGGCATAACCAAATATTCAAATGCCCCTAAAGGGGTGAACATAGTGGTTTTCCATTCATCCCCCTTCCTTATTCGTACCAGGTTGTACGCCCCCCTTAGGTCCAGCTTTGTGAAAATCTTTCCCTTCCGCACCCTTGTCAAAATGTCGTCAATCCTGGGCATAGGGAAGGCTACTGGTTCTGACACTGCATTTAAGGCCCTGAAGTCACACACCAGCCTCGGCTTGTTCGTGTTTTTCTTATCCACAAAAACACTGGGCTGCCCCCACCGCCCTGGACTCTCTGATGAACCCTCTCTTCAGGTTCTTGTCAATGAACTCTCTTAACTCCTGCATCTCTCTGTCTGACATGGCGTACAGCTTGCCTACAGGGAGCTGTGCTCCAGGGAGTAAGTTGATTTGACAGTCAAAGGGTCTATGCGGGGGTAGTTGGTCAGCTTCCCTTTCGCTGAAGACGTCACGGAGATCTGCATATTGTCGTGGTACCTTCACGTTCTCTGTTACTTCAGTCCCTGCTAGGGCGGCTTGGACCCCTGCCAAACCCTTTCCCTCTTTGCAGTGTTCTAAGCAATGTGCTGAACCAAAAGAAACCACTCTCTGATGCCAGCCCACCAGCGGATCATGTAACGCTAGCCAGCTCATCCCCAATATAATGGGAGCTCCTCCCAAGGTGGCCACATTAAAAGCTATCAGTTCGGTGTGCCTTGCTACCTTCATTATCATTGGGACGGTCTGCAAGCTGACTTCTCCACCCAACAGCTCCCTGCCATCGATCGTGGTAACCTGCAGGGGGCTGCTTAAAGGATTGTCTGTATCTGGTGTTCAGCTGCAAACTCTTTGCTCATGAAATTGCAGGAGCTGCCTGAGTCCAACAGCGCCTTTATCTTTAGAGGGTGTCCGTTTGGCAGCTCTAGCGTCACTTCTATCACTAGGGCGGGTTTAGGAGGTTCTGGCGTGGGCACTCTCACTGCTCTTTGGCCTGGCTGCTGTGCCCTGACAGTGGCAGCCAGGCGTTGGCTTTTACTTGCTCCGGTATTTTTCCTCTCTTCCATCCACAGCTCCTACCATCCCTTGCCATTCTTTCCTCTGGGGGCAGACTCTGGCAAAGTGACCTGGCTGTTGGCAGAGATAGCATTTCCGGGCGCCTTTTCCCTCCTTCTTTGCCCCCTCACTGGGCTTTGAAACTGCGCGCGCGCGCGCTGTTCCGATTTCCATCGGCTCTGCCGGTGGGAAAGTTGGCTCTGGAATGTCTGGAATGCGGAACTCCTTCCAACGTTCCCCTTTCCCTTCCCGCCTCTCCAATGCTCTCGCCTCCTGGCGCGCTCCTATGGCCAGCGCTGATTTGGTCAGCTGGTCCATAGACTCCGCCCTGGGCGCCCGGGAAAGTTCGTCTTTCACAGCCGAAGAAAGCCCTTCTTCAAAGAGCATTTGAATGGGTTCCGCCGATAAGTCCCACCCCAATCTGTGAACAAGCATGGTGAACTCAGTCCAGTACTCACGGACAGATCGGCTCCCCTGTTTGCAACCCATTAACTGTCTGCGCACCACTCCCTTTTCAATATCGCTGGAAAACATCAGATCCATGGCGCGAAAGAACTTCATCGTGTCCTTTAAGACGTCACTATTCGCTGCCATCAGGGGTCTAACCCAGTCTCTCGCCCCCTTTTCAAGATGCTCAATCACGAAAGCCACTCGTGATTCCTCGTCATGGTATTCATCATACTGCAGATTGAGGGCATATTGCATTTCTGTCCGAAAACCATGATAGTTTTTGGGCTCGCGCCCAAACTTCTGCACCAATCCTGGTACCTTTCTGGCGAACTGGGTGGCTTTCCCCCTTTGGCTGCATCCTGAGCCCTCCTCTCCTCCAGCCTCGCCGTCTGCATCGCTAGCTGGACCTCCAACATCTGGTACCTTTCTTCCAGGCTTGGACCCGCTCCAGCTCCTGCTTCTCCAGTTCCGGCTGGGTTGCTCATGATGCCTTCTCCTGCACAAGCTGCTTTCAAAGACTGTCGGAATGCTGTGATGGGATGATGAGCTGCTTGTGCGTAAAATCGTATTCCCTCAGAGTTTGTTCAAGTCCACAAACCTCTGTCTGTGACAGAGCCCCTCAGACATGGCTGCTCTAGTCACTAGCAGATTCCGACAGTGGTTGCTTTCGTAATCGCTTCCAACATAAAAGCTCCTTAACGGAAACACGTCTTCTGGAATCTCTGCGTGACAGTTTCCGGCGAGGAGTGGGTGTTCTTACAGGAGGTTCTGAAACCTCCCCACTGTTTTCGCTGGAAGTGTCTCTGAGCCATCCCTCCAGCTCAGCTCCCCTCCCCCTGCTGGTTCCTTCTTCAGCTGCTGCGTCTCTCCCAACCTGTGTGAGCCCTTTCACCTCCCTGTTGTTTCCCTCTTCAGCTGCTGCGTCTCTCCCAACCTGTGTGAGCCCTTTCACCTCCCTTCCGTCCGATGGCAGTTCCCTGACAGGAACATTGATTGTTTCTCTGTTGATCCTTTATATTGGCTTGATATATATAAATGAAGCCACTGTATATGCCTCTTTGCACAGCTATTGATTGCTATTGATTGATTGCATCAATCAATCTGTAAACTCTATGTGTGTTCCATCATATTTCTGAAACTATGCAGTAGGATGACTGATCGACTGTCTTGTCTAGTATATTATATGAAGTTGCTACAGACACAAAGAATTATTGAGATTTTAAAAGATAATGGATGATCCAAAGTGAGTACCTTTGTGGGCCCTTTTGCAAATGCTTTTTTTTCTCTAGGGAAAATGTTGCATTAAAGCGAGATCCAGAACAGATCAAAATGAGTGGATTGGGGATATTTTCACATTTTTATTCAGCAATAGTAAAGTATTCAGTTGATGTGTTTTACATCATTTGTGCTTTCAGCTACAAAATTTTGTTCTGATAACTGAACTTGTCAGACTATTAGTGGGAAATATTTCTCTCTCCTTTCCTCTCTGTTTCCTCTGTTGCTGTTGATGCAGAGCTGTTATATATTTGCCTTGATATACCACAAAATAAGCTTACGTACACTGAGAACTTAGCTGGCCCAGAGATAAGGGAGACTGCACAAGTTTGCTGACAAAGTTGTGCTTCATCTGCTCACACCTTTCATAACCTCTTCTCTCTTAGAAAGCATGTGGGACTTTCCAAATATGAGACATAACTACACTAAGAAGACTTTTGGAGACATTGTTTGCCCTGGACCTTATTTTAAGACAAGTGTGTGCTATCTAAATTTACCTCTTTTATAGGTAAATTGTGCCAATTTCCATATCACCACATTTATCTGTGAATTTAGACTTGATTGTCTAAGCTGCTTGGTGTCAGCTATTAGCTGTTTTTATCTATACTGTCAAATTGTGATTTTATGGTATTCTTAGTATGTAAAATAAGTACAAGGTATAACTATGTTGAACACATAAAAACTTTCATTAGCAAAGTGTGAAGAGCACAGAAATAATATGAAGAGGGAAGAGAAGATAGATATTCTGAGAGTGCCTCCTGGCCATCAGTATTTCACAGGAGGGATTCAGGTGTATACGGAGAATTTGGATAGTGACAAGGAAATGAATTGAAACATGTGGGATGAACAAATGGTTCATAGGGGAAATGTCTAAACACCCCACAAGCAAATTAGGTTGAGTGCAAAATGAATGTTCCTCATCATATAACCACTATCTAAACATGTTCAGAAAAGACTAGTCACAGCCCAACTACCATTTAAGCTTTGTGCAAGCAAATCTGGATGGATGCTGAATTCACAGGTTCTATGATTGGAGGATCTGTGAGCATAATGATATTGAAGTCAGTGTACTAACTTGAACTGTCACTGTTGGGTACTCTGCCCCAAAGTAAGTTTTGGGTCAGGGTGGGGGAGAGAGAGAAACAGAAGCAGCATGGAAGATCTAGGCAAGCATATTCATATGAGAAGGACTACCTTAGTCTAGGCCAGGGGTAGGCAACCTAAGGCCCATGGGCCCAATCACCTTCTCAATCTGGCTCACGGACAGTCCAGGAATCTGTGTGTTTTTACATGGAGTAGAATGTGTCCTTTTATTTAAAATGCATCTCTGGGTTATTTGTGGGGCCTGCCTGGTGTTTTTACATGAGTAGAATGTGTGCCTTTATTTAAAATGCATCTGTGGGTTATTTGTGGGGCATAGGAATTTGTTCATTTAAAAAAAAAAAACATTAGTCAGGCCCACCACATGGTCTGAGGGATGGTGGACTGGCCCACGGCTGAAAAAGGTTGCTGACCCCTGAT